CCATAATGTTTTTACAGAAATAAAAAAAATTGATAAATAAAAAACTTATAGCTATTTTTCATAATAGGGGGAAATCGAAAATCGCCCTGTATTAATGGTACCATTGAAGATATCGTGATACGGTTTTTGACAATCGACGTTTCTCGAAAATCAATCCCATGACATCTAAGTCAATTTTTCTCTATCTGGTCTGGAAGTATGTTTTTCCTGTTAAAACACTCCAAATTGCAGCACCCTGTACAGTCGAAGAAATAAGTACATTTACAAAAAAACCAAATCAAAAAGTAAGTAAAAAGTAAGCCAAGTACCAAGTAGAGTCCACTAAACTCTAGAATGTTACAGGCACGTGTTTCGTCGCAAGTTGCCCATTGGTATGTTTATCACGGTTGCCATAGCAACGGCGAGTAGTTGGGTCATTGAGTAGCGTACCTAAATCAGATCTATTTCCAAACCAAATAAAACTTATCGAAATAATGGTTTGCCCGCTGGCTTCGACGTCAGAACTTCGCGCAGACCAAGGCTGTACCATTCTTAAGTTTGGTGGACCCTACAGTCCGTCGATTTTATTCTGATACTCCAAAGGAATGTGAGCTGGTGGCTCCCTACGTTAGAACGCCACTGATCACTTGACGTCATACCTGTTTTTGCCATAGCCTTTACCCCTTGCTCCTCATAAGGAAAGTGTCAGATCAAAAACGACGGATAATACTTATAGCTTAATATACCAATTACCAAAACCGATAACGAAAATTAAAATAAAACACAAATTGGGTACTTATTCACACACATAGTAGAGGTATTATAATGAATGAAATGCCTTTAGGTCTCGTAGATATCCATTGTAAATATCTCATACAATTCAGTGAACAAAAAAAGTATAGACATTTTTGGTACCTACCTACTCATAAAACTGTCCCGATTATTATCGAAGAATAGAGATGGAGAATAGCAATATAAAGAGCATAGAACTGACCACAAATAACGAAATGACAGAATACTAATACCACTTTTATAATTTTTATACAAAGTTGTGTAAATTGAAATTACATAGCTCTGATACTACCACACAGAACGGAATGACCATTAAACACGTTTTTACTTCCGCATTCCTTACAAGAGCTTCCATGGGTGCTCCGCACCCATGAAAGGTTGCTCATTGGTGCACCTGCCCCAATGCTTCCATGTAGTCGGCGCCAGTGCATCTGGGTCCTTATTCTTGAAACAGGGGAGCAGCGTTCACAGGAGAACGAGTGTTCCGTCTTTCTCAATGATATGCAAATGATAATATAAGTAACAAAGACGGAACACTCGTTCTCCTGGGAAGGCTGCTTCCCTATTTCAAGAATAAGGACCCTGGAGCGATGCTCCCAAGCATGCGTTGGCTCTACTAGATGCAGTACAATGATAAGCCATAAAAATGATCTATAATCCAACTCTCACCGATCAATTGCAATCTCTCGCGCATAGACGCCCACATAACAAAATTGCATCCCTTAGAATAAAATGGGAATGTTCTTTTTCTGGGAGGAATGTGCCTAGGATGTTTGCCAAAACCATTGCGAATGTCCTGAGCAGTGCCCTTAACACGGGCGCAAGCTTCAGAAGGGCGCAATCTGCCAGTAATTGTTAAGCGTAAAGCGCCTTTTGCGCAACACACCAAAAGTTTAAAGAGCGCTTTCCGCATTTTATACTTATACAGCGAAATAGATATTGGTACTATGGTACCATATATGGGTACCAGAACAAGAAGAAAAAGAAAGAAGCCAAAAATGCCTGGTGAGAAAGCAAATGACGAGGCTCATCTTTTCGATTCCAAAACACATTTGGAAATTGAATCTCTTGAACTCATGCAATTATAACACAGATTGGGAAAAGATATGTGGTTCTTGATACTATGACAGCTGATTTTGGTTTAGTGGTCGTGCTATCGAGAAAAAGACTCTAAAACGTAAACAAAAAACTACAGACTTGGAAAATAAAAATCCAGATGATTTGAATGCGTTTTCGTTTGAGTTTACTGCAGAAATAAAATTTTCAAAATCCAAGGCGAACCACTGCTTGATAATTTTCGCGAACTGGGACTTTTAGAAATATTGCAAAGTATTTATGACTTTACTCTTGAAAATATTTATTTTAACATACGGACGGACAGCTTCAAGAATATTTCTGAGCCTTACATTGACTATTGCTATGTGTCAGCGTTCCTTGGTAAGCTTACGCTTATATAGTCAATGACCAAATGTCATATTCTAATTCCACTTTAGGACAGGAAAAATTAACAAAGACAAAGTAGCAATACTTCCAATCGAGAAATCGACTCCACTTACTTTTAATTATGACAAAATTATCGACATAGGTATTTGCATAGTTAATGTCTAGAAAAAAGATAGGAAAAGAATAGACAAAATTTAGACTTCTGAGTGTTTCACTTTATTAAGTAGTTAGTACACTTTCTGTTTCTCTTTCTTTGTTCCTTTACCTGTTTTTTGCTACTACATAATTCCTATGTTATGTTATTGAGTAATACTTTACAGTAGTATGTCCCATTTTGGTTGTCCATAAGGGATAATCTCAGTTGCTATTGGAGTTGGAAGGATGCGGTTTTCACGAACGTTGGCTACTTTTCTGCCAAACGAAAGATGCCGTCAATAAAATTGTCATCGCCATTTTCGTTTTTCAGACACAAGATTTTTTTGAAAATGTTGCATTTTGGGACAGCCCTTGTATCTCGGTTCTCCCATAAGTGGTCGAGAAGGTGATGACAACTGATTAGTATGAATCTTTCTACGTAGATTCCACTGGCGGGTCAATTTTTCTCTAGAAGTGATAGTTTTAAAATTATGAACCGATTATACACTTTTTTGATTGAAACACCCTGTATATTAATTGCTCATTAGATAGTTCTGCTTTTGCTGATTTCAATGATATAAAGTTCGATAGGTTTATCTCTATCATGTCTGTTTTTGACATAAGAAACAATGTGTCAGAAAAGGAAAATGGCAAAGGTCTCTTTCTAACAACATATTGTTTCTTATGACAAAAACAGATGAACATTTTTTGCTCGAAAACTGGAGATAAACCTATCGAACTTTATATCATTGAAATCAGCAAAAGCAGAGCTATCCAATGAGCTATCAATATACAGGGTGTTTCATTTGAAAATACGTATATTTGGTTCATAATTTAAAAACTATCACTTCTAGAGAAGAACTGACTTCGCCACTGGAATCTACGTAGAAAGATCTATAAGAACCCGTTGTCACCTTCTCGATCACTTATGAGAGAACCGAGATACAAGGGGTGTCCCAAAATGCAACATTTTCAAAAATACCTTGCGAAGGCGATAATGAAATAGGAATTTTTGTATCAGTTAGGTACTTTCTTTGTTTAAATATAAAATTTGGAAAATCAACATTTGCGTGACATTGGATATGGGACGGGGGCGCAAATTGATAACCTGCCACAGGCGCAAACAGGTCTAGTTACGGCTCTGGTCCTGAGAATGTTCTGAGAAAAGATTGTAGAAATACTGTTTGCAATACCCAAGAACTTCCTGGGAAATCCATTAGGATATTCCTAGAATATACCTATGAGATTCTCAGTACATCCTGAAAAGAATATTCCTGTTTGATTCTAAAAATATGCTTTAAATGTATATTCTCACATTCAAAGAATGTTTCTATGACATTAGAGTTATGTTCTCAAAAAAATATTATACCAAATATGCTTGAAATATTCTTAGAATATATCTACATATACCTATCATTCTCAATATGCATCCTAGACATAACATTCTTGTTTGATTCTAGGGATATACATGGAATGTTAATTTTCGCATCCAAATAATGCTCCTTCCATTTTTTTTATATAAGAGGCAGTGAAAGAGTTGTTGGAAAATTTCTCTGGAAAACACAAGCACTGGCGTAGCCAGGATTTTGTCTTGGGGGGGACGGGGACAAATTTGCAGGAAGTGTTTCTTGTTCGTCCACCGCAAGTGCTGCCGGAGGGCGCGAAATTTTTGGTCGCCAGGCCGTTTTTTTTGGGTCTTTTTACAGTAATTTTGGGACTGTTAATTTTAATTTTGAAGAATTATTTATTAAATTCAAAGGTCTTGGGGGGGGGGGTGGCAAATGCGTCCAAAAATGAATATTTCAATCGAAACAATCTTAGAATATCCATATTATTCATTAAACATTCCTAATAGAACATTCCAAAAAGCACTTTAAGCGAATATTCTGAGAATATGAATGTTCTTCCACTGTTATGTGGCCGCAAGGTGGCCGACTTTTCTTTGTTCAATCTCTATTCGCTATTATCATGGGAGATGTTCTGACGATCTGGCCAGCCTCATTCCAGCTAGGAGAAGTTATTTGAGAATCACAAGAACCTCACAGGCATCCCATCCGTATGTGGTGAAGTTGGCTACTCTGAGGCAGTGGCGCACCCAGAGGGGGCTATCGGGCCAGGCCCCCCCCCCTTTGGCCGCCCCTCCAAAACTGTATTTTTACTTTTAACAATGTAGCAACATCAAGGCGTGGCACCCTAACACCACAATTTTTTTTTAGATTTTTAGTCACAAGCCACAACAACATATGTAGGGCCCCTCCCAAACATATATTCTGAGTGCTACACTGCTTTGAGGACATCTAAATATAGGGCTTTTTTTGGTAGCGTACTGCCCATTTCTGGAACTTTCTGCATCCTACTTCATTTCCTGAACGATTTTTTTTAGCGTGTTTAAACGGGGGGTTAATCGTTACTTAATTTCTTCCATTCATGGTACCGCTTCTAGGTAGACTTTGTATAGACTTGTCTTTCGTAAGCGGACCAATAAAAAAAAAATCATTGTGTTCATTTTTTGAATTACGGTGAAGTGACGTTAGAGATAATTTTTTTGCACGTCGATAATTTAAGTATCTATCATTACTTCCATCCGGCATCTGTAAGTTGAAGAATAAAGGAAAAAATAAAAAAAAAGCCACTTGTGAATTTTTATTTAATTACCCCTATATGAGCAGTGTAAGTATCACAAATTAGTTTAAAATATTGTGTTTTGAAAATAATAAATTAACATAATTATATGATGTAGAGCTAACAGAATTCATTACATAAATATGAAGCTGTCCAATCGACTTCTACACTTTTAATTTTCCTAATTGAAAAACCAATTATTAATTAATACTAATAACAATTTATCATAAACATAAATAATAATACTCTTTCTAGGGTTGTTAGCTAAGTTTACAAGCAATTTTATTTAATTTAAATATGCATTAGTAACGAAAGATCTCATGTTTTTTTTTTTGTAAAAAAGGTAATCTATTTCTCAAACGCCTCATCCTTGGTCCCTTTACATTTTTAACAACCATTTTCCATTTTATTACGAGAATCCTCCATCTGATTTAACCGTTTTTTTTAGATTTGTGCATTGTAAACTTAGCCACAAATTGCATAAAATGGACTATAGTTAAACAGAAATAGAAACCACATCGTTGGAAGGTGAAGAATATTATTGCTATCGGTTCAAGAATGGACTTTGTAAAAATCATATTTCAGAAAGAAATATTAACAAAATTATTTTTTTTTAGTATAGTTAGTACTTAATTAGTTTGCTAAGTGCAAAATGGCAAAGCATGTGGTAATGTTCCAAGTGCTGGTAACCTATTTTTCTCCTGATTGGGGAATAAAACAAATTTGACCCAGAAATCAACTTTCTTGTCATGAAACCGAACTGGACAGTCTGAACTCGGAACGTGGTAGAGCCGTTGGGCATTGTGTCCATAATAAATATATGTACCTATATTCAATCCAATGGCAGAAAAAACATACTATCACCAAGAACTAAACAGATAACTGACTAGACACTAGAAAAAAATATATATTATCTTCTATCTATTTCCAATAAGTTCGTTTTCCACCTATAAGAGGAGCAATTTTGTTAAAATATGATCTGCCAAGGAACAGAGATGTAGGGGACGTATCTGATCTGAATCTGATAAATAGTGAAAAACGAACTTGCCTTTATATTAGGCTAATATTGAAATAAAGTTTCCACATTGATTAGCAAACATTGTTTCACTGGCGATCGTTTGGGCTCACACACAAAAACCAAAAAGATCAAGAAGAATGTATTTATTTATCTATTTATTTTATTTAGTAATTTAGTAATTATTGCAGTTTAATACTTATTACCTACTAATCATTGATTATTATTCATCATAAGTGAAACAAAAAGGATATTTAAATGACAATAAACAATATAATCCAAAAAAAGAACTAAATAATATAAAATTACAGTTGAGGTACCTAGTAGCTAACAGCTTTAAGTTCCCCAGTTTGTGAATCAGCAATCCTTATTAAATTATACCTATAATAAATTGAATAGTTACTGTGGAGTATCCATTGTTTTATTTCCCTTTTGCATTTAAAGTTTGGGTTCGTTCTTAAGGTATTAAATGGAAGGCTATTGAATATTTTTGGACCTAAACAATAAATATGATGCTGACAAAATGATCTGACTGCTCTAAAAAACTCGACGCCGACGTTCTTCACTCCAGGCTGCGCTTTTTTATTTTCTAATCAGTTTTTCAATAACGATACTCTAAAACTCCACATGATAACAGTAACATTTTGGATTTTCCAAAAATTCTTTCTTGCGGACGTCAATACGTCTGCCAAGGTATTTTCTAGCGTTTTCACCACGGTTTCGAAGCAGGATTCATAAACTTCAGTATGGCGTTGCCGTCGCCGTAAGTAATGAGTTTCAATTTATTACGTTCGGTTCGTTGGTGAGAATATGATAAATCCAGTTGTTCCCGAGAGGTATAATTGGTATCGTCATTGCAAACATACCACACACGATTATGCCAGACACACACTATAAAATTTAAAAAAACTCAAAGTTCATAAATGCTTGTTACCGTGTTTTGCATAGTTTATGTTGACTCGAAACTCATAAACGCGAAATTTATGAACGGCAAACTCAAGTTCATAAATCCAGCTTTCAAAAATCTGTCGGAGTTTTTACCGACAAGAAAGGGATCCCTGATGGGGAAAAATTTGGTTCATAATTTCGCTATCAGAGAAAACGAAGAGTTGCTTTGTTGGTATATGAATTTAATACGAATAATTTTTGGACCTAAACTTTATAATGAAATATTTATGTAAATGTGCAATTATTAGTTATCTACTTGTACAATTTATATGTGAGATGAAAAAAGCTATGAGAACCATTTTAAATTAAACCTGTCTTGGAGTATCGAATTCGATGTAGAATTGAATCAGACAGTGTTGCCACAGGCTCTGAAAATTTCGTGCCAGATTATATTTTTAAAAGGGGCCAGATTTTAGAATTTCGGGCCAACCGTTTTCAAATTGAAAAGAAGAGTGAAAGCCTGCCGGAGGCAGAAAATTTTCTCGGGTGCCACGCCCAAAAACGTTTATTTTACATCAAAAAATCATGATATGGCTTGCTATGAAGAAACGGGCCAGATTCGAAAAAGAGTGGCCAACGGGCCACTCCGTCTTAGAAAGGGCCAGATCTGGCCATATGGGGCCACCTGTGGCAACACTGGAATCAGATTTGTTGGACAATGGAATTTGGAATCGCCTAAATCATTGCAGTTAATAGCATATGTATGAGCATGATAATTATTATTACACTCTGATTGTTTTTTAATTGGGTCATATGATTTACAGGTTTCAACTGTACGTTAGGCCATGTTTTGTGAAGATAAAATTTTAAGTCTACAGATTGCGCTAAAGTGCCGATTTTGCCATGAAGCTTACCTCTATTGAAGCATGACCCAACTTAGTGTATTCATCATCTAAAACTGTATGGGGCGAAGTAAAAAAAATGCGATGAAGATTTTTGAAGTGTTAACTTCTAAAAGGAGTTCGGACGTTTAACGCTTTCGGAGAGGGGGAACTTAGATAAGTTCAATAGGGAACTTCACACTTCTATCGTCCGCCGTGACACGCTAACATTTTTTTTTTTGAGTGGTGAGGATGACCAGATTAATGAGCAAATAAGCAGCATTCAATGTAAAAACTTGATAAGCAACTTTTTGGAATAAAATGTATTTCTAGCATACTTTGAGCATTAAGCCTTCTATACAATGGCTTCAAACAAAGAGGTGGAACATTATTGTCAATATTGAAAATTTGACAATTCTCAAACTGTTTTACCCCGCTAACTAAATAAAATTATCCGCCACTGTTTCTAATAATAATTATTATTAAGTGGCAGTCAAATTTAACAATTTTTTTGAGCACCAGTAATATGGATGGCATATAACAATAAAGGCATTTCAATTTATTTTGTACTTAATAATTTGTGTGGATGTGCGTTTTAGTAAATAAATATTTGCAAGAAATGGCCACATATTTTAAATATATTATAATAATATAAAAGTTTAAAAAAAAGACACAATAACTTATAAGTAAATATAAAGCTAATTATTGTATTTTTGTAAAATACCATAAGTTTAACTGTAGTCCATATATTTATATATTTTTTTACATGTTGCTTAAATATAATACAGAGTGATTTTTTTTCATTTAAAAGTATAGGTACTCTTATTAAAATATTACAAACGCCTATAATATATTTTAGGAGGAAAGGCAAAAAGTTGAACAATGTCCAAATATTAATTTATGTTATACAAGCTATAAATTGATACGAGGTATTCCATATCTGTTTTCAAAAGTTGTTCATGTACAGGGAAAGCAAGATGAAAGATTGGATAACAAGATGTCAAAATGTCTCAAATACTAAGTTAATTAACTCATTCCGGAAATAAGAATTAAATAAGATACTTTTTGACATTTTATCAAATAGAGCCGTGAACAATTTTTTTTATGATACTTATAAATAAATCATTAATTGCTTCCACCCTGTACACGAAAAGCGATAAATTTTAATGCACCACTGTTCCTGAAATAATAAAGCTCAGTTCCATCTCTCTATTTGTTCTTGAACTCAATGAAACTGGAGTGGATTTTTGTTAATAAAATGTGCCCGTTTGCCATGTTTATATTTTTTCTTGGAACACCCTATACAGTACAGTCTGTAACATAAGTTATATGTTAAACTCTTAAAAATGTAACCAATGTTTTAACAATTTTTATAAAGACAATCTAGTATGTACAGTATAATACTTTATGTATACAGAATATTTCGACTGGGAGTTTATTTTAGAGTTTTTTAAGAATGGTTTATCGAAAACGATGTAGGTACCAAGCGAAAGAGCTGCTAGAGCTACTTTGCCAGGTTCGAGGTGAAGAATAATTTCTATTGCTGGTTCCTGCATCCGCGTATCTCTGAATGCTCTGGGATATTAGGTGACAAATAAATAAATTCAAAAGGAGTCATCTAATATACCTATTTTTTAATATACAGGGTGCTTTTAAAGGAGACGTTACAGCTACTCTCGGTGTTGAAACTGGATTAATTTTCACCGTAGTGTTGGTAATTATATATTTACTCAAAACAACTTAACAATGTTTGCCGTGACAACATTTCAAACAGTTTAAGCAGTTCTTTACCTAGAGAGTAAGGGAAGTGATACTGCGATGGCAGGGAAAAACTAGAAACATTGTTTCTATTGGTTTTGTTTGTTTCGGTAGTGACATCTAAGACGTTCCTTTACCAAGCAAGGTTCTGAATTGCATTATTGATATGACATAATAATATGCTATTGCGCGCGAAAGACTTGAAGTACGATTAATTCGCGATAACTGTCAAACTTAACTTAATGCTCGCTGAGGCAATTCCCGAACTCGCCCTATGGCCACTAGTATCTGAATCAGAAAAGTGGAAGCGAAAGGAGAAATTTAATTTGTAGAGCTTACAATCCTCACCAAAAAAAAATATATATGTAGGTATGTAATTATGTATACAGGGTGTTTCACGAACCTCGAAATAGAGGCGTTTTAGGGTATTTTAAGGTCGATTAAAAAAAAAAAACGCTCGGACACGTCATTTTGGTATTCAAGGGGGAAACTTTTTGACCCCACCGGTATTTCGCTAGGGTGCATTCCCTGGGTGGGGTGACTTTCACTCCTCTTTTTCAGATCGGGAAGATGGGTCGAGTGATACCTTGTTTTAAAGGTACTTTGATTCTCGTTATAACTGCGTATTTTTTTTTGAAAATCGAATAATTAGTTCTCAAGATATTCACTGTCAAATTGCCATGGGATAAATAAGAAACATTCTTATTCTGGTCCTGTTATTCTCAAAATAAGACTTTCCTGACTTTCCTCTCGGACACGTCAATTTTAATTTTTTGTGTGTTTCTGAAAAAGTTAAAATTGACGTGTCCGAGAGAAAAGTCAGGAAAGTGTTAATTTGAGAATAACAGGGCCAGAAAATTGTTTCTCATTTAGCCCATGGCAACTTTGACAGTGAATATCTCGAGAACTAGTTATTCGATTTTCAAAAAAAAAAAACGCAGTTGTCAATCAAAATACCTTTAAGACAAGGTACCACTCGACCCAACTACCCTATGTAAAAAAGAGGGTTGAAAGTCACCCCACCCAGGAGGTGCACCCTAGCGAAATACCAATGGGGTCAAAAACTTTCCCCCTTGAATACAAAATTGACGTGTCCGAGCGGTTTTTTCAAATCGACCTTAAAATAACCCTAAACGCCTCTGTTTCGATGTTCGTGAAACACCCTGTAGGTATATAACATTTTCCATTATTGGATTATAGATCAATAATTTGCCAAGCTTATGTTATAAACATAGGCAACTGTAGGAAATTTTTTGATACACAAATGAATGTTTCCGAAGAAAAAAAGGACGCAAATGTATATCTTCACACTCTCCTAGGCTCTTATGTTACAAAAGTACGTCCACAGCATATACAAAAACAATCAGCAGGTTAACTCTCATGCGCATCTTTTCTGCGCACGCCACCATTGGAGGATACAGCTTAGGATTGAACGGCTCCAAAAGTCAGATAGTCGTTATTTTTGACAAGCCAATTTTTACAATTTTTGTCATTTAACCGATGACTTTTGTCGTTTCCGATTAAATTGAATGCAAATTTGGTCAAGTGGTTTTTGGTATACAGGGTGTCCGATGCTCAGAAAATAAACTGTGGGAAATTTTGAAAATTTGGCAACATAGGAATGTCGATGGAGGTCATCTGGGTAAAATATTTTTGGGATAGTTGCACTTCCGGTTATACCAGTAGTTGATGTCAACTTGCCCCTTTTTGGATTAGATAGGTTCCCTATATTATTTTATTTTTAGATTCTAGGCAAAATTCTAGACATATTTTATAGATAATGTCCTGTACCGTTTATGATATATTTTATATAAGTAGGTATAGGGTGTCCTATTCAAAATTGGCAAGTTGACATCAAAACTTCCAGTATACCTAAGCGGAAGTGCAACAATTTTAGAAATATTTTACACGGATGGCCATTGGCACTGCTATATTTCCAAATTTTCCAAATTTTATTTCCTGAGAAATCGATCGCGGCAATTCGTCGTGAGACATCTCGCTTTGTATATTTAACAAAATTGATTGAAATTTTTAGATGATACCACGCTCACAACAAAACTTCAATTGGCAGAAGTTTGTAATTTTTCTGCTGTAAAGCAATGATAGATAGGTACCAGTTCTGATCTGGACAATAATTCTTTAGTTAGCCCACACTTTCTCGATAGATAATCGAAAATGCGCTGTTCTATGTGACAAATGAACGGTCAATTTTTAATGGAACAATTAAAGGCAGAATTTTGATTCTTTTTATAGAAAAAGGCACCTCAATATTTATTATTTTATTTTCGGAACACCCGTGCTTTGTTGACTAACCCCAAGGACACCCAACTGATATTTTTTTGAAATTTTGATATAATATAGGATGGTGATGCATAGACTTTGGTGATGCCTGCGTATACAGTGAATAAAATAAAAATAAATACGCAGACAAGTTTTGCTCAACTAGCTGCAACGCCAAATCCCTATTTCAACAGTATATTTTCCATTGTGTCCCAAGCTTGATGGCCTAGTAGGAGCAATTAGAGAACCAGACGATGGCTCTTTGAAATTTGGTCTACGATCCTAGGGACCATTGTTTCCGTTTCAACTAAAATTTTTGAACACCAAGGTCGCGTCAAAATCGATATTGAACGGGCTTGAAAAATCGATTCATTTGATTGACAGTTTTATAAATATTCGTCTTGGCACGACAGTGGAGTGAGAAGAAAGCTTCATTGAGAAGAGAATAAGGCGGATTGTGGAACACTTGAGGGAAAAGCTGACTACTGAGCCGAAACAGCCAAAAGAACATTGCGTTCCATGATTGTATTTTGCACGAATTTATTGAAATTCGGATGGAGCGGATTATTCTTTCCAGATGAGTCTATATTTGCACTGACTTCACCGATGGAACATTAAAAGAAGAAGAAGAAAAAGAAGGGGGGTGCAAAATGCAATACAAATGAGACTCCACAGAGGAACTTTCATGGTCCTGTGCTGGTCTCTCATGAAGCATATTATACCAAATTATTTTTTTTGATGGTGGCCAGACGATCCTCAATGGGATTCTAAAAGAACCTGCAATCGATGAATTTAATAGCTTAAAACTTTCAGCCGTATGCAAAATCCTCTTTTAACTTTAAAAGCGACATTGAAAGCTGTCAATTTTAAAAATTTGTACCTATTGCTTAGAATACAAATTTTGAAAAGTGAAAAGTTTTAGAAGCGCTTTTAAATTTGAAAGAGGATGTTGCATACGGCTGTAGATTTTTGCACATGACAATGCCAGATTGTTCACAAATAATTTCCAAGGGGTGAAAAAAATTTCTTATTATTTATTTTCTCCAAAATTTGTAACTGACCTATGTTTTGCAGCTCAGTATTTGGGAAGAGAAATCTTATTAGTATACTGAAAACCGGATTCTAGGAAAAACAAGGTCATATTTCATGATAAAAAATAGAGAGGTATCTGGAAAAAGAGCAAAAATCAACTTCGGTTTGACGGTTTTTCAAATTTATTCGGCGGAATATTTTTTTCATGAAAGACAAAATTATTTTCACTTTGTCTCCCTGTTAAAGCTATGAAAAAGTAATACCTAACAATTTAAAAAAGTAGGTATTTAAAGCAATATCGGAGAATAAATTTGATAATGCCATCTTGTGGAACGAAAAAGCTAATAATAATAAAGTTAAATCAATTCAAAATTTATCTTGATGCAAAAAAAAAAAATTAAATAGTAAATTTTTCTTTTTTTTCCGGAAAGGTAGGCATATCAGAAAAAAAAATTTAACTTTTTTGAGTTGGAACAGCACTTTGATAAGCATGAAATTACGCAATTCAAATTGAATTCCTTTATAGCTCTTGGATCCCAATGATGAAATTATTGAAACATTCTCTAGATTAGTAGGTATCAAATTCAACAATCTTTGACTTCGACCTACAGCTTTTTTGTTTCTATATCGGAACGAATTGTTAATTTCTATGATACTGTAATCTAATGCAAATAATATAACGGTTAGTACCAATCTTCTTCGATAAATAGGAAGATTTTAAACCGGTTATTTTGTCACTTCTTGATGGCTATCTTTTATTTGTGAGCATGCTCAATATATAAATTCAACCCCTTCCAAAGTAGCCAATATCCATAAAACTGACCAAAACTGTCGTAATTTTTGCTGGTTTAAAATCTCTCTATAAGAAGTTCACATTTTAAAAGGAAATATAAAATAATATACCTAAGTTAACTTATAATAAAAAAAATGGTTTAGTAGTCTAAAGTTTTTAAAGCTTTCACACCACTTAACAATAATTGTTCCGATCAATTTCTTCGCTTACGTCCAACTTCTTTGTCTAAGTGACAAGATCAACCTTACCGCACTGAAGAAGCCAAAATAACCTAATCCAGATGATCAAATATGATTTAATACCATGGTAGGTTATACTTAAAATTATATTTGCCTGTACCAAACATTGGTTTAATACAAAAACCAATATTAAACACACTTTGAGTAAACATTTTAAGGCAGGGCCAAGGATTTATCACATTTTTTAACGGGAAATTCAAATGAAAATTTTAGACAGTATAAAAATACTTTTCTCTAAATAACTGATTGACTGAATTTATAAGGCATTTCTGCATCTAAGCTAATATCTACTGTACGTTAGCGATGAAAAAACGCCCAACTATTTTAATCTGATGGTCAACTAAAGCTAATTAACATTTGAAATTTTTTTTTATGGCTATTTCTGCTGTGTTGCATTTAAACTGTCAAAGTTAAACAGATGTTTGAAAAATTATCCATAAGCCGATTTTATTTGTGCAAACATTTACATAAAAATAAATCCTATTCGTAATATGTCACAGGTTTTTTTATACCCTAAACATCTAAACCTAACAGAACAAAAAACATATATTATTAACTAATTAAACTCCAACTAAAGCAATTGCGAATCTGACAAATTTAACATTACTAAATCACAGGTTTATTAATATAGCTTTTCTTATGCATAAAACATTCAAATTTTTCCAGAAAAAAAATCTGCATAATCGTACAACATCCATTTATCGCAGTTAGTTAAACAGTGTAAAAGAGTTTTCTTAAGCTAGATTACTGGTTGGTTAATATAAATAATATTATTATTTTGCTTGATATTTACATAATTCACATGCGTGATAATTTTCTTGTGTTTATACAGCTTCAAAATTATTCTATGAATGCGTCTGGTGAAGCAGTTAGTATAGTCGTAATAATTGTTGGAACCTAGAAGAAAATGTGTGTTAGATTATTGAAGCAACGAATTTTCATTATTAAAAATTTTTCAAGCTACCAATATTGCTTGGAGAAAGCTTAAAAATCAATATTTCCAAAACTCGTTATCAGGTTTTTCACCATTACCATATTAAGTCATAAAATATTTAAAGTTTGCTAGTTCAAGTTTAAGCCACATCAAGGACTATTATTCCTATGTGTCAAATACCTATTGCTGTTTAATTTGAAATTTTTCTACTATTGGAATAATCCAAAATCTGGCTATGGCTGAGGGCTGGATACAGACAATGGGCTCTTCCACTAAATTTTAGAAACGTAATTTAAGCAAGCTTTCTTTAACGAGAGACTATTTCAGGTATATTTGCCACAAAAAAAATTATGTACGAGCCTTAATCAGTTTTCTACAGGCACTTCAAAACCGTTAAAATTTAAACTCTCTGAAACGCGCCAAACGATGACGTATAAGCATCATACCAAAATCACCAATCAAATTTTAGACGACATAGCACAAACAGCTGCTTGTTGCCGCTGGGTAAAAATTTCGATTGCGCTGTTGCAAGTTGTGACTAAATGTAGTGCGCCGTAAGAAAAAGAAAATGAAACTAATTACAGAAAATAAATATAAATTGTGTACCTATGATAATGATTTAAAAAAAAAAGAATGAATCCCTAAGTAATTAATTTAACAATTTTTCTTGGTATTTCGCCAACATTTCAGAAATAAATCTATAACAAATTGCAATGCTGACAAGTGGCAACACTCTCAAAATTCAAGTTGTGACGTAGTGCGGATAAATTCCGTGTTTTTATTTAGAGAGTTTTCTTTTTTTATTTAGTTTTCTTTTTTTATTTATTTTCTCAAAAAGATCTACCTATGCCCGCAGAAAATTCAATTTTTAGTTACTTTATCGAATTATGCCAATTTCAAAAATGAGTAAAGGAGCCCATTCAGTCACAATTTTTGATAACCATAATTGCCGACCGCTTTATTTATACGTATTCTCATAACTATAACTGTTGGGGCTAAATGGTTATTCCAAAACATGTTTGTGTTTCACTTCACTATTTGCCAAACCAGACATAAGGCCAATTATTTATTTTAATCATTTAAATATGTACTTGTAAATAATTTCTTTTTGGCCATTGGTTGGCAGTCCTTAATTGGGTCTGCGCCTCAGTAATCATAAAAAAAATCACTATTCGGAAGATCATTTTTCTTATCCTAGATGTTCTAGGGATGCCTTGTAGAACGGGCCCTCTGAAAAGTAGCCAGTAGATTATCGGAAGGCGCGCGGCTCAGCAAAAAAGTGCTATCAAAGTTTAGTACACGATCGGGACACATACATCAAAAGACTGAAAAGATTTTCTCTCGAAGTGGATATTGCAAGTCATGAGCACAGATATATTATTACCATTGAACATCAAAGATGTCACATGGTTGAGTTAAGAGAAGAACTTAAAAAGCTACAGGAACTGAATGCAACTCTTGGGCAGGATGTCGAGCCTAAACAAGAGCGGATATTTGAATCGAAGAAGGATATGTAAGAGATGGATGGAATTCAAAAGTGTATGATTCGATCAATTCAAAATTTGGAAGCAGAGAATATTCTCTTAAGGGAGGATCTCAGTAGATGGAAGTTGGGGTTGAGCTGCGCGCCTGTGATTAATGCTAAAGGTACAGCTTTTGTAATGGTTCAGACTGGATCAGGGCTGATGATATTATCCACTCTGTCATATTTATTCCTGACTATTTTACGCAGGAGAGTAGAAATGTTATTATTGACGGTGGACCAGCCTTACTTATGTCAATATCTAGCTTCAGAGGAGAAAGCACCAGATATTGCTAGTGACGGATGGTTTTGGGCGGTCAATATATAACTGCCTGGCTGAAGAGGACTTGAGGATTTCAATGATAAAGACTTTGTGGTTCTTTTGGTAGGCCCCATAACCAAGGGGCTTAACAGATACAAAAGCAACCAATTTGTTAAAAAATGTTTCCACACCAACTAATTGTTCTGTACCACTCCAACAGTTATGTTTCACGTCCACATAATATATATTCAGGTAATATGGTTTGTAAGCTTCCTAGGTATAATCATAACCTCGGCCTATTGTTATCAAACGAATCATTTGATAGGTATTGGTATTTGAATTTATCACCTTATTAACAGAAACAGGATTGTCTAAGTTGGCAAAAAAGATAGGGGCGGGAATTTTGAATTTCGCGTTGAAGCTAGATCCATCTTGGTTCTTGTGTCTACCAGAGTAAGGTCAAGTTAGTGTGAATGAACAGCGGGAGTAAGTAGCGAAGAGGAGAGCTATAATGACTGTGAAGTGCTCAATAATTCTGCTACATTGGACAGGGTAAAGTCTGATTTATAGCAGCAGAACTTGGGAGGTAATGATGAGGACTCATTTTTTTTAACGCGGACATAACTCGGGCAGCTTCTCTCTAGTCCTTCTAAATGTGCAGTCTCTTCGAAACAAAGTGGATGAGCTGCTAGTTTTTTTGAATCTATTACAAAATCCAGACTAATTATAACTTTGTGAGCACTGGCTTAGGCTTAGGCTTATACTGTGTTGAGTAGTTATTGTCGACCTACTTTGCAACATGGAGGGACAATGATTTTTATTAGGGACGGGCATGTATCATTCTCTCTAATCTAAACCCTCAACTGGTGAGGGTTATTTTCCAAACCGTTACTAGTATTCTTAAACTCAGATCGTTCTTCAAGAAATTAATAGTCCTATTCTTTAGATTTTAATTTTATCTTCGTTTTCTCCTCGTACCAGAATTAATATAAAGTATTTTCTATTGTCCTTTTTGAATTTTGAATTTGGGTTTACATATTTAAACGTGTATCTAATAAGTACCAGTATAAGAAATGTAGCATTACTTAGATTAAGACTATTATTGTGTAGAACCTACTTTGTTATAAGAATGTATATTCTTTTTAAACAATAAAGAATTGATGGCTGATGATTCATTGATTGATCATTCTCCTGGCACTTTTGTAAGCAATTTTTTGTTTAACCTTAAGATTTTGTTGTTGGGTTTGGAATCAAGGGCTTCTATTGTTTTGTGTGGTGATCTCAATGTTTATTTCTTGGAGCCATTGAATCCTAATACAGTTTCATTGTCAAAAATCTCTTGTCCTCTTTTGAACTTAACTTAATTGTTGAGAAACCTACAAGAATTACTCCACATTCGGCCACTCTCATAGATTATGTATGCAGCAATGTGGAATCAAACAGTCTTTAAGTTCAAGTTGTGAATGCGGGAATCTCGGATCATGAGGCAATTTGCTTTTCATTTGGAGTGAAAAAGAAAAGTGAGGCTGTTGAAAGGTTTAAGAAAGGAAAAGTCTATTGCAAAAATAACTATAAAACACTTTTGCAACCGTATAATGGGGAAAATTGGCACTTGGTATTGAATAATTTTGATCCATTGGAAGAATTTCATAAATTATTATGTAATCATTTTAATAGAGCATTTCCCCTAAGAGTTTTAAAAAAGAAAGTGGGTAAGCCTTGGAATACAAAGGGCATAAAGGGCAAAAAACATATGTGATCACTGCACTACATGAGAAAGTTTAATGTGAACAATCCACTATTTATCTCTTACTTTAATAAATATAGGACGATATATAGAAAACCAATCAGAACAGCCAAGCACAGCTATTATCAGCATAAAATTGCGGGATCTAGGAATACGCAAAGGGAAACCTGGAAGATTGTTAACGAACTTCGGGGGAGAAGTAGTAAATGTGAAGGTTCAGGGTCTTAACTTACATCAGCCAAATTGAGTGATTTCTATTGTAATGTTGCCGACAGTTTGTCTTCTCAAATTCAGGCTACTTATGATCACAGGTATTTCTTCAAGTATCAACCTACTTCAGGATCCTTTTTAACGCTGCTTCTGGTTGAGATGAAATATTAATTAGGATATTTTTAAAACTTCCTTTGCGAGCCTTTGAAGTTTTGGTGAGTTGCATAAACGACTCATTTTACACTGGGATATTCCCCACAAGCTTGAAGTTGGCAACGATAGTTCCAATTTTTAAGGGGGGTGATGAGGAGTGTCCTTCATATTATAGTCCTGTGGCACTTTTGCTAACGCTTGGTATAATAATTGAAAAGATTGATAAGAAACGTGTTGGGTACTTGGAAAAAACATTGTAGCGCAGGAGCAGTTTGGGTTCCAGACCTCCGAGGGGACTAGTGATGCCATCTTCTCGTTTCTGGAGTCGCTGTACCTGAATCTTAACCATGCTGATGTGGCATCAGCGGTTTTCTGTGTTCTGTCAAAGGTACTTGACTGTGTTGATCATGGAAAATTATTCTGGAAGCTGCAAGCCTACGAATTTACAGAAAAAGCTCTCAATTGGTTTGAGAGTTTATTTGGCAGGCAGGACACAGAGAGTCTCTTTTAAAGGTTCACTGTCTGGCGAGCAAGTGTTGAATTATGGCTTTCCTCAGGGTTCTGTTTTGGGTCCAGTTTTATTTTTGTTATATGTCAACAATTTTGCAAGCATTGAAATTTTACTTTGTTTGCCGATGACGCAACAATATTGTGGCATAATTCTGACAGGTCTAGATTAAGGCATGCTGTCAATAATGACATAGCAGTGACGGCCTAGTAAAGCCGGCTACAGAGGGCGCAAGCCTTGGCCGATGTCCGCGCGTTCCGTTCCAACGTTAGCGCATGGTGTCTATGTAAAACACATGGCAAAGTAAGGCCAATGTTGGCGCTGGCGCCGACGTCCGCCTCGGAGGTGGTATTTCTAGCATAAATCAAAGAGGCTTGTCTTGTTGAAACTCGCCAGTGGGGTTGATCGCCGTACACACGACATATTTTAGTGAGGGCCTAGTCATCCAATAAAACTTGAGAAAATCAATTTCTAATCTGCTTAAATAGTTCACGGTATTACTGAAAAAGTTTTCATAATATAACCTACTTTGTTCTCAAATTGAACGAATTAGTAGAGGCAGTAGAGCAAATGCTGCTATTACTCCATCGTCTTCATTTTGTGACTTGTACGCTCGTTGCAACGTTCGCATTCCCTGCGTCGAAAAGACTGGCAAGGATAAAACATGTCGTGTGTACAGTCGTGCGCGAATATCAAGCAGAGACCAACGCTCGCTGAAACACTGACCAACGCTTGCAATGCCGTCTGTAGCCGGCATGTTTCGCTTTCCTTCTGGCGACTCGGAGCCTTTAATGGGCCAAAAAGTTGAAGAAGCAACGAATGTTACCAATGAGAAGGAAAAGAACATTTTGAACGTGACTGTAGGGTACGGCTGAAATCTCGCTCTAGCTCCTTCTGGAAAACTGAAAACCAGCAAGAGAATGCCAAACTTGAAAAAGGAAAAATCCGTTGCGCGGAGCAAGAAAAACTGGGAACAAGACGAATGGTAGGATACGAATGCTGATCCAGAAGGTCAATATTATCGTTCAAACAAACGCTCTGAAGATTCCTACACGCAGGCGCAGATAAGCCGGCTGGCAGCATGGCAGTCAACATTGTACAGGTGGCTATTCTTCTGGTTCCTGTGACGTCAGTTCAAGGGAAGAAAGACCATGCCGGCGTAGATCTGGAAGACCAAGAAGGCAGAGGGGACTTATTTGACAGGCAAAGAGATCTAAACAATTCGATTCATCGGATGATGAAGAACATTGAACCAAACCAAACCAAAGATATGTTTCTAAATACCTTGAAAAGCAATATACTGTAGGTAGTAGGAAGATGGATGGAATCGTTAGCTTCAGTCCGTCGTTTTCAATCTGATACTTCAAAGGAATGTGAGCTGGTGGCTTCCTACGCTAGAACGCCAATGGCCACCTGACCTCACACCTGTTTTTGCCATATGCTTCACCCCCTCGCACCTTAGACGGAAAGTGTAAAACGATTATAGATCTGACTGAAGTTAGTTATAGACGTAAGTTATGGTGCATCTTGATAGGCTGAGAAAGCTTATATCACGAGAATATGTGGTTGAATCGGGACAACCTGATTCGAGAGGGAGACAGTGTTACTGAATTACATTGGTGCGACAAAGCTGGAGCGAATATTCGGGAATTCCATTGTGTGATCAAATGACAAATGAACAAGCATTTACGTGATTCTAGAGAATTTTTGATTGAATATTTGTATACAGGGTGTTCATTTTAAAACTTACCACCCCTATTATCTCGGGGTTGAAAAGTTTTCGAAGAAATTCCTGAAATACGTTAACTATAATTTAAGGGGGGATGAGTTTTACTGCAAAATTCACCTCCCTCCTTTCAACCCCCCAGCCTCCAGAGCCACCCCCTAGAAAATCTCAAATGGGAAGGGGGGTCAAGTGATACATCATTTTGGAGGGTTTTTAATTCCATACATTTTGGTACTAAATTTTAATCCCTAAGTTCAACTGCTTCGGAAAATTTACTTTTTTGCAACTTTGACAAGCTGTAAAACCGGAACGGTTAATTTTAGAGGAAAACCGATCTTACATTCTTGTCTTAGATTTTCATAAACAATCATTTAACACTAACTTTGAATTCAATCCATGATCAAAAATTCTGGTTAAATATTCAATCTCCGGTTAAATTCAAAGTGGGTTTCAAATGATAGTTTATGCAATTCTAAGAAGAATGTATTATCGGTTTTCCTCTAAAATTAACCGTTTAGGTTTTACAGCCTGTCAAAGTTGTAAAAAAGACAATTTTCAACTGTCAATAAGTATTTCTGAAAAAGTTGAACTGAAGAGAATAAAATTTAGTACCAAAATGTATGGAATTAAAAACCCTCCAAAATGATGTAGGTATCATTTGACCCCCCTTGCCATTTAAGATTTTCTGAGGGGTGGCTCTGGGGGCCGGGAGGTTGAAAGGGGGGCGGTGAATTTTGCATAAAAACTGATCCCTCCTCAAGTTATAGTTGACGTGTTTCAGGAATTTTTTCGAAAATTTTTCAACCACGAGATAATAGGGGTGGAAAGTTATAAAATGAACACCCTGTATATAAATCGCGTAGCTTGTAAGCTGCTGTCAGTTTGAATAAGATAATTGTTGTATTAGGTTGACTAAAAGCGATAAGTGATTAGTGGTTTTTGTACTTTTTGTAAAGTCGTTAAATAAAAGTTATTGTTGTAGTGGAGAGGGTTTTAGTGGGCCGGCGGAATCCGTGACATTATCTTATGTAAAATATATTCCTGGTTGACTCTCTATAAGGGAGCTTGAGAAATAAATCGTGCAATCAATTGTAAGGAAAATAATATGGATAACTACAGATTTGCGTTATCAGCATAAGGTACAATCTTTTTGTGAGAAGGCGAACCATGCCGATAAAAATATCTATCTGTGAGAGTTCACTATGTTTAATGTTTTCAGTTTTCACTATAATCCTATAATTATGCTCAGAAGATAAGTAATATTGCTGTCCTGAAATTAGCGCAGAATTTAAACTGTGCTTCCATTTTTTTCCAGTAGGTAGGCAGCATTCGGCGGAGTGACATTCAATAGTATACCCAATACGGATACGGTAGGTCAATATGCAACGGTGCGCGACATAGCAACAAGTGACAATTATTAAAATTCGTTACAAGTATGGCAAATGTTTCGCTGAGTGTGAGGCAATTAAGAAGGCCTTTTTTGCCTGAAAAAATTGAAAATTTTGATGTGTGTACGGGAAAACTGGTTCACTAACCATACAGCGGATTTCTACCGAAATACCTGCATCTGCGCAATGAAGCCCAATTCGAAGAATTACCACCCCCCGTTGTTATTTTCGAAACAGGGGAGCAACGCTATTCCATGGTTTCGAAAAAAGACGTCAGACTAGGCGAAACTTTTATACTGTTATACACATCTAGTTTTAAACAGCTAGAGGAATCTAACTAGGTAGGTATATATTTATTTGGGTTCGAATTGAAGATCTAGGATCAGAGAGGAGATTTCCACCTAGACCTGGGCGATCGTAGATGTATCGTTGTAGTAATGTAGCGTCTTAACTGTATTTGATGAATGGAACATAAACATGATCGCTTACTACATAACTGTCACTAAGTGTGAGAAAAGAAGCCATATCAAATTCTTATGCTTAACAAGACTCACTCAATATCTCTTATGTTGGCATAGAAAGTTATCCAAAAATTTTCTCAAAAAAATTTATCAGTGTCAGCTGAGTCGTGGAAGGCTTTTTTCGAATACTTCATATTGTTTCTCTATTAATCGCAATAATTATTTTTCAAATTTATGTAAAAACTAGGTACCAAATTATTGAATGAATAAAATTAAAAAAAAATTCAAATTTCATTCTTTCAGTTTATTTTGTGTTTTATCAGGACTACCATTAGATAAGAATTACACAAACTGCTAGAACGACACTTGAGCTAACAAAAATTGGACATAACAAAGCAATTCAATACAAAGTGATAATTATACAATACGCTAGATGGAACGTGTATAGCAACCCAAATTGGTATAAATCGAATATTTTTCCATGCATGGAAAATCACATAGGTATTGCAATCATAACAATTATTAAGATTGTTTAAAGTGCGCCTACTAACGCATAATCCTTCCAACAAAGGTAGTACCATTTCAAATTAAGGTATTTTGAGACCAGCCTCTAAAGAATACCTACTTTATTACTTCGGTAAGATACATATTTGCCTAGTCAGGTGTTAGGTGTTGCCAGTGAAAACTGAAGAAGCGAAAGTAGTCAAAATGTTATAACAGGTCTTGTCAATATTGGAGTGACTAAAGTAACCAACACGTATTTTTTATATGTCTACAAATAATACTTTTCAAAGAAAAGACGTAAAAAGTCGACGACTGGCTATTACTATCAACGTAAATAAGTTTTTGTCTGCAGTATTTAATAAGCTCAAGTTTTAGAATACTTACGTTGATTTTAGGGGCAATCCAGAAACTTTTTTGCAAAAATTTCAATATATGTTAAGCCAATTTAGCACAAGCCTTAGGAAAATCTATCAAAAAGATTTTTTTAAATATCAGCTACGGGTCCGCCAGTCGTTGAAATACTAGTAGTCATAGTCTTGCCAATACTTCTAAAAAAAGTGTTTCGAATAATTTTCTATTCAAAAATCAAAAGTGCCGTATTTTCTCACCCGCCCATTGAAACAGAATTTATAACACCATCGACAAGACTATCTCGACTTATATCATCCACCATTGCTACTTTGAAATGATGACCAAAACTGGCAAGATCTTCTCGGAAAGCTTCACTTCCTGGAGTTATTCCTCCACTGGCTGGTGGTACAGGTGTTTGATTTATTTCATTTTCTCCTAGAAACAGAAAATATATTAACCAATAGGCAACTAAGAAAAAATAGTATTGATTCCTATTCTGTAGGAATCTAATGTCTACTTAGAATTAATTAGAAGTTGAAAAATCGTGCAAATTTTTATTTATTATTAGGTATCATTATTTGATGTTCGAGCAACCAGTTATACCTACAATCGTAGAACTCGTGGGGGAAGAGATTTTCAACGTGAGGATCGACTACATGCCAAGACGATACTGCCTGAACAGACCATTCGAGGTGAGCTTCCCAAGCAGAACTGAATGGGAACATGGCATACCGGAGACCAGAAAACAAGACCAGACCTGGTACACAGATGGGTCGGAGACCGCGTCTGGTTCTGGAGCAGGAGTATACTCTGCCAACTATAGCGATCACTATGCACTGGGAAGACATGCCTCTGTTTTTCAAGCAGAGGTATACGCTATAGGACTCCAATGCTCAGCGGAGAACAACAGGAGCGCCACAGCCATTAGGCAGATCCTTATAATGTCTGATAGTCAAGTGGCACTGAAGGCCCTTTCGAGCCAGACAGTGTCATCAAGACTAGAATGGGAATGCCAGGAAGACTCAGGACCCTGGCGGACCAGAATAAGGTAAAACTTATCTGGGTACCAGAACACAGAGGAATCAAAGGCAATGGAGAAGCTGATGAACTTGCAAAGAGAGGGTCAGAAACAAAACTTATCGGGCCAGAACCGGCTCTAGGGATACCAAAAAGTATGACCAGAAGCCACATCAAAGACTGGATTCGTAAAGAACATTGGCGACACTGGACAACTTCCAGGCAGAATCATGGTAGAGAGTTAATCAACTAACCATGCAGCAAAAGGGCCGCAGAGCTGCTACAAATGAGCAGGAGCCGACTGAGAACCATAACAGGACTCTTGACTGGCCACACACCAGTAAAGGTCCACCTGAACAGGATGAACCTGTACGACGGAGACCTTATTTGCAGACTCTGCAATAAGGGACCCGAGACAGCCAGACACATCCTGGTAGAGGCAATGGATCGCAGAAAACACAGCATTTTCGGGCAACCAAACGTAGACCCGGAAACAATAATGAAACACCACCCAGTAAAAGACCTGTACAACCTCGAACAAGGCACAAAAATATTGGAATGGTTGGAATAAACCACACAGCCTAAGTACAATAAGCCTTCTCAGGCTTCAGTGCTGCATGGAGACAATAAGTCGAACAGGCCAGGAACAAGGAAAAAAAAACAGTTATACCTACGGGAGAAAAGAAACATTCCAAAGAAGCAAATTTCTATTATGTGTATATGGAACATAATAGAAACTGAATGTTTGAATATCAAATAATAAATAGGTAGGGTCGATTTTCCGGTTGTTCAATATTTTAGAATGGAGGCCAAGGCAAACTTTGGGTTAGTTACAGGGTAGGGCCGCGGCCGTTATAAAAGTTAAACTGATTTTGATGTAATTTGGTATAGCGGTTTGAGAAAGTGTCTACCCGGGATGGGCAAAATTGAGTATCTAGGTCCTTTGAATGTTTTCCCGTCTTTCCGGCTATTTTGTATGTGAGAATGCGGGAGTTCAGAAACGTCCAGTAAATAGATAGTGGATCGTTTTTGAACCTTTTTCACGGTGGTACCTAAAGGAATTGAAAAGTGATTGAAATTTTAACCATATTTCATGCAGTATATTTATTTAATTATCGTATTTTCAATTGCATATTAGATACAGTTTCCTGTAAAAAGAATAGACATTTAGGAAGTGTGTAGAACCATTGAACTAAACAAACACTCTGGAACGGGCGCACTGCTTTATGCTAGTGTGGCGAATTTTGATATATGCAACCCAGCAATACAGAGGGATTGTTGTCTCGCTCGCACTCAGTGCGATTAACGTAAAAGAAAGAAGAGCTTCTTCATCTTCCTTACCTCAATGATCCAAATACTTCAAACAGCTGTTCTCAATAGCCGCCATAGTGCAGAGAGAGATGCAAATCCCACTTGTTTGTTGTCCTACCTGGTACAAACCCTTGCGTAGAAACATTATGCAGCCACCGTTCCAGTGTGTTTGTTTAGTTCATTGTGTAGAACTGACAATTGCTGTATGGCGCATGTCATTAATACTATTCAAGGAAAAATATCATGATAATCTCTCTCTTATTGTAACTAATCATGGGAAATAAAACTAGTCCTTCAATTAAATAATATCGGCTTTTATTTATAACGTGTAGTGCGATCGAGCAAGTATGCAAGTAATGCTTACGAAATCAACGTAGAAGGACATTACAAGCTAAAACTAATAATTGCTTAGACCTAGTGATCGACTGACATTGATATGTACAAAATATCATATCAATTGAAAACAATATAAATGCTATTTTTGTACTATTCATTTTTACTGTCCTTGTTGTTTAAAAATGTATGATTGATTAAGTATGCTATCTATCCCAGGGTCATAAGTCATGGTAGATACTCAGACTAAGTAACAAAGTAACATAAGTAAACATTCGTTCTGTTTCAAGAACAAGGACCCAAGATTGATCAGCGCAAAAGAGGTCTCGTTAGAAGCCTGAACGAAACTGGCAAAAGATCGCGAAAAAAACGGAGAAAACGAAAATTCGGCAAGCAAAGACATGAAAATCGGAACAAGAACATTGGTAGTATATACAAATGCTGGTCCAAAAGGCCAAAATCATCAATAAATGAATTTTGTAAATTACATAGTTCAATAAAAGTTGTTGCTACTGTTGGTAGTTAATATAGTTTTAACGGACTCGCGGACCCGTAGCAATATGATAGAGGTGCATAGTTTAAATCCAAATGTAGAGAAACATTTCTATTATAAATACAGATCTGAAAACATATTTAAATCTATTATCGTCAATATCAGCTTTTTCCAAATTATTTATTTGTCTCAGAGATAGACATGTGCATCATTAAAGCCCCAAAGGTGTTTTCAAAAATAACACAACCTGTAATTGTGTGTTTTGAGAATTTACTTTAAGAAGGAGAGTATAAGGTACGCTTTAAGCATAGATTTAGCTTGCCAAGAAGCCTATTTTGACGAAAAAGTTTAGACAAATCCCAGACGGGCGAAGCCGTTTTGTTTGTTATAAACCATAAAAGTCGCAATTCACAAACTGAAACACAATCCGCAAGTGGCTATTCACCAAAACGTTGCAATACCACGGATGCGGTGATTTATCGATTCATCAATACATGCTAATGCCAAACCCTGTGTAACACTACTTTTTCTACCATTCCATCACGGTGCCTACACCAGCTGAATTTAGCTACATCCAGAATATACAACTACCGGTTTCACTGTCATAGCACACTCGCACCTGAGGCGTTTTCTCGCGTCCACTTTTTTGAAACTGGTTTAAAACTGTTTTGAAACGGTACATTCTCGCGATAAACCCATGACGTCACGTCAAAATTGGTTCAAACCGTTTCGAAATACAATCCAATCCACGTTTTCAAAGCATTTTCTCGCGCCGAGAAATTATGACGTCATGGTGATATTAGTTGAACCAGTTTTGAAAAATGTTTTGAAACATTTGAGACGCGAGAAAACGCCTATGGTGTGTCATTTTTTACACGCCTCTGGGACATGAATGACGGGCTTGTCAGTCTCCTAAGGAGACGAATAAATAATTTGGAAGCGCTAACAATTATTATTTTTTAATCTGCTTTTGTAAAGAAAATTTTGCTCTAAAATTTACACCAGGTACCTCTATCATATGAGAGATCAGCCAATATGTTTAAAGCATCCATTTTCGAGTCAACTAATTATAATTTTAGGATATTTCTATAGCTGCTGGACCTTGCGAAACTTTTTTCGGCGACTCATGACATCAAGATAAGTGTACCAAGTTTTGTCCTTTAAAAAAATTTTGCTCGGTTAACATGGGAAAATCATCCAATTTGCTATTGCTCGTAAGTACCTATCTATCTATAGAACCAAATGTCTCTCTTGTAGGTCATTGAATAAAAAATAAGTAACCTATTTTTAACCACCATTCTACGCCCACGATACGTGTACCTACAGGCCACAGGAAATTGAGCAATGAGCATCTCAAAAAATTGAAAACCTTTGCCTACTAGAATCAATAACACAAAGAAAACCCTTTTGTTTCCAAAGTACATGGTGTTGGTCTTTTCGTTAACACAGATTTTCAAATAAGATTTCACATTTTTTCTCTAGTGATATGCCTATAAGATGACATTTAAAATAGTAACTTAAACTTTGTTTTGTAAGCCTAGTAGCAAAAAAAAAATTGATGGTGAAGTTTTTGTTAATTGGCAGTGAGTGTAAAACTATTTTTGCCGGAAAACATTGACAATTAGAAGAATTGCAAAGGAATAAATTTTGAATAATATTATACCCTTCTACAATAATGTTCTATAAAAAAAAATTAGGAAAAAAAAAATATACTGGGCCGTACCTACTAATTTTCTAGAGGAGTTGAAAGAAGGGTGAGTTAAAACTTAGAAAAATTCCTCCGATATGCATGGTTACGAATAATTTCATTAAAATATTACTCACATTGTGCAACATTTTTTTTTGTGGAGCGTTAAGTGGTTTGAAATTAAATTTCAGACCCTACATTTTCAGTCTCTCGACATTGGAGAGTTTGCCAAACTTATCAATTTTGAACTCTTATATGCCCCTACTTAAAAAGTTTTTTTTTTCGGAACAATGGATAAGAGTTGTAAAAAAATACCTAGGATAATAATATTTATTGGTGTGGTGCCCCAAAGCCTATCTAAATTTCAAAAAATATAGTGGTAATAATGCATTCACGCTATTAATGAAAAGTGTGCATGGAAAAATAACATGTTTAACAAGGTTTACTCTTCGATACAACTGCAGGTAAATTTGACCTCAAAAATGTTGTTAAAGGAAAATCCATTAATCAATTACGAATGTTATGTAATAATTAGGTCATACAGGTAATATGACTTACCTTCAACATCAATATCTTCAGCATTTTTTTCCAAAGGAGCAGCCTCTTCGTCGTCGGTGTAAATTTTAAAATATGCAATTGCTAAATATATGACAGAAACGATAAATGATGGAATCGGGATACACATGGCATAAACTAGATTCATGTAGACTTGTATCATGTTTAGGTCACTCATCACTAACCCTGGATCTATTTTACTGTAATAACAAGAGAAATTTGTCCCAACAGTTGTATAGTTTTTCAGCCAGTTTGAACAGTTTAGCGACGGTGGATACCCACATCCTTTTACGTTGGGTAACAGCCTAGCTTCCCTGTAATGCCATTCAGAAGTGTTGGGTTGTAGACCCGTAAAAGTTTCACTCTCATAATCGTAATCGTCGAGCAGGGCCTTTTCATGTCGAGCAAACGGAGATTCTACAGTGGCCATAGTAGACCATGATAAACTAGTGTTTGCATAAGTATCGTTGGGTAAAATCTTGTAAGTAACAAATATTTGAGTACAATCGTATATGTCTTTGGTGCATCCTTCTCTACAGGATGTCCAACTACAATTTGATGCTCCTAAAAGTCTTTGAATTTTTACAGTGACACAAAAAGCAGGTTTTTCGTCGAATTCCATAAAGATCGTGGTAAAGGCTGGATCTATGACAAAAGGCACAAGAAACAGGAAGGAAAAGAGGCTGAATATTCCGAGTAGCACGAAGAAAGCGGTAATGTAAAATAGTAACTTTTGTTTCCAGTTTTGTTCCTCGATAATTTCATCCCCCATGGTCGTGCTACAAGGTCGTTCGAAATTGGAAACTCGGACCCAACCATCTGCAAGCACCTAAGCGCGAGCGGCAGAGGCCAGCTCACACCTAGCGCTCCTTAGATCACCACAAGTCACTATATGCCTCTATCTAACTCACACCATGCCGATTTTGCTTAGTAGATGAAGTAACACTGCTCCTTTTACATAATATTTTTCTGTCCTAGCCTGGACCGCGTTGAAAATTTATTTTTGAAATGAAAGAGTAGACGAACACGTCCAACTGTGCACTAAGTGGCGATTTCTGCCATAGCGATGCCTCTGGCAGCCATGGTGTTTTGAGCACTGCGGCCCGAAACTGTGGCAATCTCTATGCTATCGATCTAAACTCCGGGACTCTGACAGACCGTCCGGAAGACGTCGTCGAACAGTTTTCCGTACGTGGAGCCACATGTACCCGATGATTACCCCCCATAACCTAAGAGCCCTTCAAATATAATTCGTCAGCCAGTGTAAGTAAATAATTTTAGTTACTTTTTTATTAATAACTTTAAAAAATTTCAGTAACGATATATTTTTATTAAAAGAATACGAACAGAGGGTGCTTTATCAATTTTATCCCGAGTGCGCGAGGGTAATTTATCGATCGTGTTTTCCGCAATGAACTATCGATTTTCAAAAATGCGAAGGGCTAACACGCGCCCGCAAAACAATGTTGCCGAGATTCGCAAAAATTCATTCATAATTTGTGTTCTTTTGTAGAACCTAGGTTTGCTCATTTAAGATAAATCCACTCGTGCTCACATAAATATACCTCTATAATATCTACTACGTTCCTCCGGCAATTAAAAGTTGATCTTAGCACAAAGAAAATAAATCTATGGCCGTTATGATTAGCTCGGTGAAATTAATTTAATTTTTAACTTGAAATTTGTAAAAATATTTCTGTTAGGTTCAAATTGGTGGACGAACAGATTTTGTATCATAAGGTCAGGGTGATTGCCTACAGGACAGTAAAAAGAAACGTGATTTTCAGAGCTTGTTCTTTAATTGATTTTAATCATACATATTTTAGCCCATTTGTATGCTGATTAAAAGGTAAAAAGTCTTTTTCTTATTATCGATTAGCAGCAATAGCAGCAGTATATCAAAAAAAATAGCCAAAGGGGGGGCAATATCGGCAGACCTGACTGCATATTTCTGACTTCCGATAGCTCATTGGTAATGCTTAAGATTTTCGAGAAAAAAATAATTATTATTCGCCATGGGGATATTTTGTAGGATCAAATCTCTGATAATCCTATTTTGGAATAACATGAAACTCTTACAGTTCCATTCATTAGAAAAATCTTTGATATTTGCATGTTGATGATTTGGCAACATAGCTACATTAGAGTGGCGCGCCGCTGACTAGCTACGACGACGTCATTACAACTCGTGAATGTCCGCAACGCTGTTTGTCAGTTCTGCAGGAATGGCTTGCTGAAAATAAACCGATCCGCGATGCCGAAAAAGAAGCCAACCCCCGTTGAAGAGCTTATCATTCCACCACAAGACACCCGAATTTGCGGAACGATATGTCTATGTCAAATGACATTAGTGCTCAGCAGTGTGGCGATAGTGTATTTGACTGTAGCTATTTATGTGCCCTCAACAAGGGCTATGCAATCGGGAATATCAGAGAGCCCTGTAATGTGCACCACAGTGCGAGCAGTGACCGTTGAAACTTGCGATTGGGGTTCTTGTGGCGAGTGGTGCCTTAGCAAAACTTCAGGCTCCTGCATACAAATTTACGTCAACCTTAGACGAAACGGGTCCAACCTACTTTTAGCTAATTGCACTAATATCGCTCAGAAGTTCTGCTATGGCAAAGATCAGGAGGTGGCCAAGAAAAATAGGTGCATCGCGGATGAATGCAAAAATCTTACTGGGACGTTTAATTGTACCACTGGAACATGTATAGATATAACCGACTCGTTCGAGTGCGTCTACAAAGATACTGATCCCCCTTTAAAGTGTTCTGGGCGTAGGGGAAAAATTACTTGCATCGACTTACATGGATTATACAATTGTAACAGAGGCACATGCGAGAGGATTCGCTCTCCTTACAATTGCGACAGACAGTGTGGTGATATTCCAACCCGAAACAAAAACGTCATAATGATGAGCGGGGATGAGGTGTATTTATCTGAATGTCAACGCTGTATAGATTTAGATACTGGAAAAGAGGTTTGGAATGAATCTGAGGAAAATATCGTAATGGCTTCGTGTTTAGACGTAATGAATACCAGCCGTGGCTTGGAGGCCACTGATTGTATTAATGGTAGCTTGCTTGCTACCAATGTATTGGCTGATATGGCGAATTTCACCTATTTAAGCTACCTAAGCGTGTTCAATACAGTAGTACTCGACAAAGAAAGAAAAGTTGCACCACCAGAACCGGATTTATTAATTGCAAACGACAGTAAATTACTCATCAATCTAGAAGGTTGCGTCAATACATTGAGAGACGAATGCAAAGATTTCTTGAAAATTTACGGAAAAGATGGCACAGATCACAATGCAAGAGCTAGATTTCCATGTTTCTATTCTACAGATAATACTGATATCGTAGTAGCTAGGTTCGATTTGGCTACAACTACCAAGCAATTTTTAATAGCTTCTGTCCTGCCTTCTACTCTGTTCGTAATATCTTGTCTTACATTAATTTTTTGTCAACGGACTGTGGTTGTGGGAGATGATGCTAAAATGCGGTTTCAGGGTTGCACCAAGGGAGAAACAGAATCGGCAACTGAGAAAGCTGCATCAAGCAATAATATAAACGATAGAGGTGGAGGAAATTCGATTATGGCGCTTTGAGATCAGCAACGTAAGTAGTGATAATTTATTATTGTTTTTAAATGGACCCTATAGAGTCCTGCTATTTCTTCATTGACGTTCAGTTTTTTGTGTTTCTCGGCTAGACAATTAATATTTGCATTTTTGATCATATATACATACATACATTTACGAATAAGTTTTTCTCCTCTTTGATCGCCGACACGGGCAGATACTAAAATCATTCTCTTGCATTAGTCTAGGAAAATTGTCGAAAAATACATGCATTGCAAAAAAAAAAATCCTACCCAAATGAACTTTTCAGGGATGATAGGGAGCGGGTGGGTGATCATAAAACCGAAGATATCCCACATGCACCCCTCTGGCGTTTTACACTAATGGGGTTGAAAGTGCGCCATTGGCGATTACTTGGTACCTATTGATTTTACAAAAAAATGTTTCAAATAAAAGATGTGCAACATTATTTGATCTACAATGTTTATCTGAAGACTTTTTTGATTAAGGGCCGTATGTGGTCATAAGGGCCGTTTGAAATTTATAATGGAAATAAAAAAATTTAACCAACGTGAAAAAAATGTCTACAACAGATACAACGTTTTTGCTTTATGAATTTTTCACTCACCCCCTGCCGTTTTTCAATAGGTAATTTAAAGATTTTTTATTTTTTTACAAAAAAATTTTCTTGATAAAAGTTTTATAAGATTACATTTTTTACAGTTTTTCCTCATCAACTTTTTTTGTAACTCACCCCCATTCAGCGGTGGGACACTTCCCTTAGGTTAAAATTTTTTATTTTCACTATAAATTTCAAACGGTCCTTATGACCACAGACGGCCCTTTTAATCATAAAAGTCTTCAGATAAACATTGTAGATCAAATAATGTTGCACATCTTTTATTATTTGAAACATTTTTTTGTAAAATCAATAGGTAATGGCGCACTTTCAACCCCTATATCGCAAAACGCCAGAGGGTTGCATATGTGATATCTTTGGTTTTATGATCACCAACCGCCCCCTATCATCCCTGAAAAATTCATTTGGGTAGGAAATTTTTGTTTGAAAATCGGCAATTTTCCTAGACTACATGCATTGGAAGAAATTTATTCGTAAATGTAAATTATTGAAAATCAAACTTGGGGTTGAACCAAACTTCAACTATTGACAAAGTAACGGGACCCAATGATATTCACATAATTTTGAAATTATAATCGTAAATCGAAATTATGATTCGAAATGGATTTATAACGTATGTAATTTGAATTTTCCATAGAATAATAATATCTAATATGTAATAAAAATTAAGTATTCTACATATTTAGTTACTTTGTCAACTTATGAAATTAGGTATTATAATATTTTAACTTGCGTTAAAAACATACATGGGCAACTGCTTCTTAAAGCCTCATGCTGTAAAATCACTTTTATTTGCAGAAGAAATACTGTTCAAAATTATTTTATTTCAAACACCTCTATTCAAAATTAAAGTAGGTACATATATGACGAACCGTTCAGGCTCAATTGTTAAGAGTTGATAAGTGACGTGTTTCATCTTTTGCCACAAAAACCCACTTTTTATCTGCAAAACTCTAATTTATTATCAAATAACATCATCTTCATCACTTTATTATTAGATTATCATATTATTTGAGCAGTTTTCTTTTAGAAGGTCCTAGCTGAAGCTCACCGATGGCGGCAGGTCGTGGCAGGGGATTGGGTTGGGGTTTTCCATAAACAGAGATTGAGAGAAATTGTGAACAACAAACTTGTGATTTCGCGATTAGACATACATACCACATCGTGAGAGCTTTGATCTTCGGACAGTTGTTGGTCTGTTTCTTCGGCCTCTTGTAGCATTTTTATAGTCCTATAGTGACATTTATATGGAGGGCTACAATTTAAAAAACAAAACGCATAACCATGGAAATAATCAATGAAATAATTACATTAATTGATCCTCTGATAAGTAATTTCTTTGTGGCCACTTATTTTCCAATTTTTCTATTGCCACATCGAAACTGAATTTAAATCCTGATATTCGGCGCCTTTTAGGTTTCGCGTAGCCCAAATGATGACAAATTTGGGTTACCCAAAGTTTTATGGTTTTTTAGTGAGTTTGTCGAGACCTTTTAGGCATAGATGCCATGTAAGTTGCATGTGTTCCGTGTTGAGAAGCTTGCACATCGTAATGGGCTTTTCTAATCTTTATAGATCCATTTTTGGTTAGCCAATTTTGCTGTTGGCTGACGTTATATTGCTGCTCGTGTTCGACCTGGATTCTTCTCCTTCTACATTTATTAGAGGTAAGCTTTGGTCTTTTCATTTTTTTTTTTTTTGGTCAGGCAAAAGATCAATTATTCTACCCCAGTCCTTGTCCTTACAGTATTTTTCCTCTTAGGGTCCAAGTGCTCTATACCCAACCTTCCGTGCTCGGGTTTAAATCCAAGTCTAACTCTTAGTTCACGTTCGAGAGAAAAGTCCTAAATTCTAGGAAATAAAGTCCTGAATTGATAAATCGAATTCTGAATTTCCCTATCGTTCTGCCTTCTAGCGGTCCAAGAGTCCAAACGTCAGAGTTGCGCGGCGAAAAGCTTGGAATTCAAGTACCACTCACCCAAACTAGAAGTAGGAGCCTCTTGAAGCACAGAATTACCAGGTTGATAATTATATACAGGGTGTCCCAGGGAAAACAGTCCACCCCGATTTATTGGATTTGGGATGAGAATCTGGAAAAACGCTCGGACACGTCGATTTTTGATTTGAGGGGAAACTATTTTTCAGTTTTTTTCAACCCTCTAGCTAGGGGGAGAACAACCCCCCAAATTTGAATAGGGGATATAGGGGTCGCGTCATACCTCTTTTTAAAGGTCTCATCGAGTTCTTAATGGCCCTAGAATTTGATCTTATTATTTTCGTCCGTAACGAAATGACAGCTTGCCAAAAATCTTGGAAATAGACTATTGTTTTAGTAGGAGTAAAAGCGGTACCTCCCTTAATAAAAATACGAGTAAATACCTACAATTTACAATTCTCGTGTACACCTCATTAATAATAATAATAAAAAACTTTAATTTCAAGTATTTTTATTAAGGGAGGTAAGTATCGCTTTTACTCCCACTAAAACTAATAGTCCATTTCCAAGATTTTGACAAGCTGTCATTTCGTTACGGATGAAAATAATGAGACGAAATTCTAGGGCCATAAAGAACTCGATGAGACCTTTGAAAAGAGATATGACACGACCCCTATCCCCTATTCAAATTTGGGAGGTTGTTCTCCCCCTAGCTAGGGGATTGCCCCTAGCTAGGGGGATGAAAAAAAACTGAAAAATAGTTCCCCCTCAAATCAAATATCGACATTTCCGAGCGTTTTTCCAGATTCTCATCCCAAATCCAATAAATCGGGGTGGACTGTTTTCCCTGGGACACCCTGTATAAGGCTTAACTTTAGACTTGGATAATTTTGAGCACATTTTTGCGAATATTTGTATATATTCTTTTTTAAGTGTGAATAGCCAATTTGGTAATAAGTTCAAACGATTCAGGTACTTTTGAAGAGACAAAAAAAAAACCCGAAGATTAATGAATTTTCCCCAGGTTTTCCGTGATTTATTTGTTTCATAAATAACCAAATGGTGCTATATTTTTCTTCGACAATATTTCACTTGTTGACAATCATTATATTTCAATTTTATTAATACGTAATTTTTTTATGTTATACCCGTATAATAATTATACAACGTAGGTACGTAAGGACAGGTGTTTGGAATATCCAGAAAAATAAAGTTTAATTTTTGAGAGATTTCTGAGTACCTATCTTTTTCATAACTTGAGACATTATTTTCAGGTACTTAATAATTTTAGTCTAACAGAAATAAGTTTTTCCAAATTTTCTTAATTAGGAGGCTCTTTTTAACATCACTCATATCATAATTACTTAAGTAATTCCTCTTTTACAAAAAATTTAGTCGCGCCTAACTTTCAATAAAGTCAAAATCATGAATCATGTATTATCTTTGAACCCATTTCCCAGTGCCTCTGATAAAGAACTGCCGAACTATGTGTTAAGAAACCTTTTTTGCATTATAGGAAAAAATATTGCCACACCCGTTGCATGTTGTGCATATTGGAGAGCAATAAAGGCCTGTCTTCCTGCATCCACAATTCCCCTGGCAGTCTTTGTCTGTGAAACTTCTGAGGCGGTGGCGGTCTGATATTTGGACGACAATGGAGAGTGATTTGAAAAACGCGTCACGGGCAAATTTCGTTACTCGAGAGAGAAGGATATAACGTAAAGAGACGAAGAGAGAGCTATTGATTGACACAGACCAAGGATTATAAGCGAAAAGAGGATTGCCTATTATTAACAAGCGCCTATTACCCTTGTGACGTTACTACAGATATAATAATAAATAATAATAAATGATTTATCAGTACAATTATTTCTTAACTCCAAATTACAATAGTGTCTTTCACATGTTTCAAACAATTTTTTCTAAACTTTTATAGATTTTGAAAGTCCTTTATATTATTTGGTAGTTCGTTATACAGTTTCAGTCCTTTATGAAACAAATTCTGAGCAGATTCCATGTGATACACCCTATATTGTTTGCCCAGCGGATCTGAGTCTACGGAAGGAATTCGGACGTAAATGTGCCATGTTGTCACGTTTAATTATAAAAAAGCGAAAATACTAGGCATGTAGTAAAGTTCATTTGAAAATCCATTTTTTAATAACAAAATATAGATACCAATAAAACGATAAATATCTCAACGTGGTTGTTAGATCTATTCTTATTCTAATAACTGATTTCTTCAATTTTATCCATTGTAAAAAATGATAAATTTTCTAAAGATACCATTAGTTTTTGACAATTTGGCAAGCATCCGGCCTGGATGAACCTGATTGGTGGAGTTTTTGGCAGGATGGCCGTTGCCACGGTAATCATGCCGTTGTCAATAAGCTAACGTCACCTTACGTCTCGCTATTGGCCAAGGCTTCCGTCATTTTATCCTCCCATCTT